CTGCCCGGCTTCCTGATACAGGAAGTATCGGGCTAGGCACCGGAGCATTTGGGCGATTACGAGTACTCGCCCAAATACTCAGAATCGGCACCAAAACTAGTATCTGTGCATTCCTAATCATAAGTAAACAATTCTGCTCTAGATGATTAAACCAGAAAGGTTAGTAGATTCCAAAAATGAATGGTGTCAGTACTGTGGAGGAAGGAGCAATGAAGAGAGCCAGTTTTTCTAGGGAGTAAATAGGGGGCTATAAAAACCTGATAGATGGTCAAACTTTTCCCCATTCTAAAAAAAAAGGTTTTGGCTTTTCCCTGTAAATATTATGTACTGGTGTGTGATATTTTATTCTTATTTTGTTCAGGAGTTGAATGTAGTAAATATAGGTACCAATGCAGTAACCATTTCCTTCCTCCGCACAGGAATGGGGAAAGAGCTGTCCACACGAATTCATCGCAGCATACAAGCTTCAGCATGACATGTCATGGACGCCCTTCAAGGACATCCAAAAGCGAGATGCAGAAATTAGTATTATTGATAAACTGCTGAATGATCAGATTGCCCTTCCATCATCTGCTGAGCCCAACTTCAGAGGACTCACTAATTAACTTTCTGAGAAGCCTCTGGCTTCTAGTGTGCTCAGTGGACAAATGAGCAAGGGAATCGCATCCTCACTTCACAATAATTGGCTGTATGTGACTTTATTATGGGTTGTTTGTGGACTTGTCTATGTTGAGCAGATGTGCCTTTGAATCTTCCAATGAATTTGTATTCTACAGATCAGCTTGATTTTAATATATAATTCTCCATGAGTAAATATTTTAAATCGTTTACCTGAAAGAAATGACATCTTACTTTCTAATTTGCTTGCTGTTCCATTATTTGTGCCGTCACTGCTTATGTCTCCTTCTTAAAATACTAGTGATTGAAATGAAGGACGTGTAAATAGTTAGCCTATCCAAAACTGTCAGAGGTCTGGTGGGTTGGAGTCAGTCCCGAACATCTTTTATGTCTTGGATGTTTCAATTGCGAGATCTCCCCGTATTTCCTGGCTCTCTTCCTATCTACCTGGGTTCTTTGTGTGTAGCACTCTCAAGAATATAGAACAGAGTTGACAGAACATGGGATCCTCTTGTAATGGCCACAGAAGGTGTGCAATAGCTAGCAGTAGGAATTCTTCTAAACACACTGAGGGAGATGCATGAAGCTAAGGCCCGGTTCACACCTGGGCGTTTTGTATTGCGTTTGAACGCTCTGCAAAACACAAACACCGAAATCCCATTATTTCCTATGGGTATGGTTCACACCTGGGCGTATTACAGGCAGTATGAACGCGCTACAAAACGCCCTGCGCCCAAAGAAGTACAGGAGCTTCTTTGGGGCATTTTTGTCACGCATTTCCATTGGGATACAGCCAAGTAGCACTTCGGAAACGCCCGTTTTTTTTACCACGATAAAAACGCGCGAGACAAACGCGCATATTCGATACGCCTAGGTGTGAACCCAGCCTAAAAGGTGCCCATACACCTTGCAATCATCGGATGAAAATTTACATGCGATTATCGTACCGTAAATTCCAGTAATCCCCTTTTCTCAAAACGAATACATTATTAGCAATTTATATAAACATATGTAATCATATAACCTATATGAAGATCAGTGTGCTCTCAGGAGACTTGTCTTTTTGTTGCAGTTTGCACTTACTTGTTATCTATAAGATGCTGTGCAGGGTGTGAACGATGAGTATATCCAGAGGAGAGAAGCGCTGTTCCTTTCTGTCAGTGCCCCAGCTAATGGCAAATGTAAAAGAACTTGCAATACCTTTGTCAAACCCCCTTATACCACTTAAGCAGTTCTGGCTGTGACCTCACAACCCTTGCCCAGGTTCATCGAAGTCTCCTGAGTGCACACTGATCTTATATATGTGTTTATATCAATTAGCAACAATATGTTCTTTAAGAAAGGGAAGTGACTGGATCTGAGGTGCATTTGAGTGTTAACTGAATTCAGCCTCTCAACTGGGATGCTGTCAGATTTTTGCAGAGTTGTGTTGGTGGTGCTGCCCGCCAGCACTATCGAAATGCATTACACAGATTCAAAGCAGCGGCCATGCAGGACCACTACTAGTATTTAGAAGAGGACTCCCACCCTTTAGTGGGGCCTAGGTAGGGATAAGGGTCTGGTATGGATGGAGTGTGTGTGTGTGTCACAATATTTAACATTTTAGACTAAGGTGCCTTATGGTTTTGGATACTTTCATAGGGCACCGTGACATAAAAGGATAAAAATATAGACCTAATGACTCTCTAATATGAAGATGCAGAACATATGTATCGAACCAATGAATCCAGTGCTGCACGAGGATGGACCTGCTTCCATTCTTAGGCTGGGCAGAAAGGTACAAGAAGGGTGTCTTCATGAAGAAAAATAACAGGATCACCGAATATTTTACATACATGAAAGTAATTACTAGGTGCACTGTAAGTATTAAAGGAAAGTAGTCCCCAATGATTGATTTTAAGGTTGACATTCATTTTTTTCCCCCCTATAAAATGAGAGCAATGCAAGTACCTTAATTTGACTTGGAATTAGCCTCTAAGGCTGGGTTCACACCTGGGCGTATGGAATATGCGCTTTTACCGTGCTTTTTCTTTTGCGATTTGCGGTAAAAGAAACACGCGACAAACGCAGGTTTACGAGGGCTATCTGGCTGTATCCTAATGGATACGCGCAGAAAATATGCACCAAAAAAAGCTCCTGTACCTCTTTAGGCGTAGGGTTTTTTCAGTGCGTTCCTACGCGCTGAAATACGCCCAGGTGGGAACCATGCCCATAGGCAATTATTGATTTTCACATGTTGAGCGGTTTATAGCGCGTCTCTACGCGCTGTAAAACGCCCAGGTGTGAACCAGGCCTTACTCTCTCTGTACAGCAGAGTTCAGACTCCGAGAGGGAGAAGTAGCATAAAGTGCTAATCAAGTCAGTGCTGCAGAGCTCTTGTGCCAAAAAGGAGCATTCTGATAGGAAGAACGAGCAGAATTCCAGAGAGAGGAGTTTCCTTTATCACCGCCTCTCTATATGGAATGATGTCAAGCTGAAATAAAACGGGTTGCTAACCAGTGCTTTAAAATCGGATCCGTTTTGTGACCACACATAAATATATGACAAACGAATTGTTAAAAAAAATAAAAAATCCATATATTTTGCTTAATACAATTTCCTTGTTCTTGTTTAAAACATTGGACACAAAATATAACAATTTTTTTCCCCTTAGAATTTGAACGACAGATTAAAAATGTCAACATCAAAAATCATGTCTATATATTAACAACTCTGAAGCTGAGAAGGCAGTGCGGGCTCTTCACTACAGAAACATATTCACAATTAACAGACATCCCTTTTGGCTTGTGTATGCTGCAATGTGCACTGCGCCGCTTCCTGTGGCTTGCCGTGTAGCATTCCAGGTGAACCAACTGTCCCATACCTGTAACAAGAGGTCATTGTTGTGCATTCCGTACATGTGGACATTCAGGAAAAGCAAAAGAACATCACAATGCTGCCCAGATGGAAACAAATAGTGCAAATAGTATCTGTGCTCCATTGTGATTGTACCCGATGTTATTCCCAGATGGCCATTAAGCGCATTATACAAGGTACAATCTGACTGTACAAGTGTTTGGATTTACCCAAACTATGTAATATGAGGACTTACCTAAACTATCCAATCAGGCAAGCTTTTGCATTGCATAACTGTTGGTAGATTTAAAAGGAGATGTTGAAGGTTTGTGGTGTGCTTTAAAATGCAACACAACTAGGAGATATACCTATAGGTCATATACTAGTCTGCAGGCAACCTTAAAGGCGAAATATGGGGAAGAGTAAAATGTACTCTTCCTAATACTTTGAGTCGTCATGTGACACTGCAGTTGTCATACGCCGCCTCTATAGAATCGAGAAATGAAAGATCACAAACCGCTGATCACTCAGCTCACAGCCTTCTACATGCAGAGAGCAATGACTGTCAGTCACTGCTCCCTGTAGGGATTCCCTTCTCTCTGTTCCTCCAGTGCTCATTGGAGGGACAGACAGGGGAGGAGCAGGCACAGCTGGCTCTAGAGGCAGAAGCAGCTGTCAATCATACAGCGGGGTGGATCCCAACAATATTGTCTTTCCTGGCTGCAGCACAGCACTGCGCTGTCAGCAAATCACTGCAGTACCCCGCTATATGCCAAGTTTGGATCACAAGTGGACATTAGTAAATCTACTGTAAACCAAAAGAGACCTAAAGTCAAAAAAGAAAAAAGGTTTGCCTTTAGTTTTCTTTTAAAGCCATTGCGTCTTATGATTACTATTATTAGATACAGTAGTGAGGTATTTGAGGCCCCTATGTTTTTTTTTTCATTGTCTGTGTCCTCATTAGGGATATTTACTTTGTATTGGCGAACATTACCACTGGGGTAAAGGACAATTCGAGTTGTTACCAGAGCCAACCATTTCCAGTGGGGACAACTGTCAGAGTGCATTCTGGTCACTTTGGACCATTTTTTGTCAACAGGACAGGAAGTAAAGAAAAATCTCCCCAATGGGACACAGATGGCACAAAAAAAACCCCCAAAGTGTTTTTAACTACACCCTATTTTATCCAAAAAACAAATCATGGTTTGAGAAATACTTTAAAAATGAGAGCGATATGAAAGCTGCCATTGCCAACTTTTTGAACCTCCTGGGCTGTGATGTGGAACCTTCTTACTTTTTGGGTGAGATACTGACCGAGAACATGTATATGTCATGACACCTAATTGGCTGCATGCCTGCACATTTCAAACAAGCCCAGCATTATATTCAGCCATATTTCTATCCTGACCGATTCCCTTTATCACATATAGGTGGGTACAGAAGCAGACATTTTTAGGCTAAACCATTACTCTTCGGAATGACGCTCATGAAGTCACATGCTGCAGCACTCAGGGCTAAGGCCCAGTGAACCTTGCCCGCTGCACTCATCGGTAACTTCTAAACCGGCAGACTGAAAACGGATTCAGCACTAACCAACCGCTTTTGTGACCCCCATTGGAACATCTCAAAAATACTTTTTTTCACAAGTTTTGTGACAGATCACGAAGATGAGAATTCAAGTACGGCAATATGCTCCAGTTATCAGTTCTAATGTTTAAACGAGCTGCCTCCTCGTGATAATGAGCATGAATTAATATGTGGAACTTGGGCGGTAGAAGTATGGCAATTTTGTATTCGTGATCACAATAAGACACAACAAATTTGGAGAAATGGGACTCCACAAATTTCTGTAGAGACTCTTTTGACATCTTGTGGCAGAAAATGCTTTCTTCACACTGGTTTTCATCATCAGGCTGCATAATGCGCCACAGACTGACAAACAGGTGGTACCGGACAGCCAACTGGCAAGACGGTGGTACAGGGAGAGGCACAAAGAGTTCTGGGAATGAAATATGCAGTGGTTCCAGTCTTGAAAGATAAGTGAATCCATCCTCAGTATTAAATGTGGCATTTACACCCAATACAGATGGATACGGTTCCTTGGGAACCAAATGAATAGTGACCACTGGAGGTTTTCTCTCAGCATAGAGACACATTATATTAATGTCACCAATGACTTGATAATTAGCATTTGTAAGGTCAAACTGAAGCACAATACAAGAGAGTCTATGGTACTTTTTCTCAACATCTCCTTTGAAACTCAAATGGTACTTCAAAGCGAGCAATGAGGAAAGGTGATCCTCAAGGTATTGATAGTATTCTTGAAGACTGCATTCAGCCGGTGGACTTCCTTCTGTAGATTCTTCAGCAAAAGATAGCAAAGCGCTTTTTTCATCACGAATTGGACACAAACACAGAATCGGTTTCCCTGTGTTGTGGATTGTAAGCAGAGTGGAGAAATTCTCACTTTCGGACATTATTGAAGACAAGGATCTAGTTTTTGTTGGACCACCCATTGGAGACATGTTGAGAATTTTGTCAAGCTTGTCACCGGAAACATTGGCCAGGAGAATGTAATACAAACGCGAATGGTCTTGGATGTCGATGTCTTCAAAACGGTGCATCAGATGCTGTAACAGATCTGCCAAGTGCATGAAGACCACTTTGAGATGCTCATGTTGGAGAATGTGTTTGCACACAGATAACAAAGCGTTGCCCATACCCCAGTCCCCTTTTTGGCACAGGTCGGACTGAAACACCAAACGTCTTAAAAAGAGGACCGTACTGGTCTGTGGAATGGTTTTCTCTTGGGCTACTCTAGAGAGAACTTTGAGATGCCACTGCAGACACTTCATGGTTGTACGTCCCACAGGAAGGTTGACTATGTGCCTTTGTAAACCTTTACACAACGACACTTGCCAAGGCTGAAATTCCAGTAAAATCTGTGTTTGGTTAATCAAGTTAATAAAATAAAGTGCCAGAGAACTTTGGCTCTTGTACAGATCTAGCAGGGTTTTAGTCAAGTCCTCCATGTGCTTTTCACAAAAATTAAAGTACCGAACAAAGAGATAAACAGAACGGAAAAAAGTTGCTGTTATCTCCCGGTCAGCATTTTTGTCAACCATGCTATACAGGGCCATGAGATGTTCAAACAAGTATCCTATACCCCTCTCGGAGCGATAGCCTTCATTTTCCAGATAGACCATGCTCAGAAAATTCTGTCTGCAGAGCATTGTGGTGCAGTCATTGAAAATGTTGGGGAATAAGGCTGAGGTCATTTGAACAGTCAGTAGCACCGGTAGGTTCTCCCCGGGGTTCGAACTCAATGGTCGGTTCTCCGGAAAGTGCAATAGGCAATCTAAGTAGAACAGTTTCACCGGTGTAGAGAGAAGCGGGTGCTGGGTCATCCCCACCAGCCTCTGGAGGAGAAAGTGCTCATCTTCGGCCGTGAACAAACTATCAGTAAAGACAGCTTTCATTTGAAGAATGCTGTGAAAACATGATATGTCTTTTGTTCCAAACAGTCGCACAAGCTGAGACTTGAAAATGACAGGCGATATGGTACGAACCATGGCTACGATTTGTATTATTTGCCAAAACAGCGTGTTCTGGCATTCAGCAGTAAAGAGATAGGAGTCTTCCAGTAGCAGGGCAAGGATAGACTTTAATTCTTTTGTCTCATTGTTTGATGGTAGCAAAAAAAGCTGCTCTCCTGATGACGGCTGAAGTTCCTTCATGTCTTTTGTAGCACTCCAAAGAAAACTGTCATTGCTCATCAGCATTTGCTTGAGGGTTCCATTAGAAGGTCCCTCCTTCTGCGCCAAGATCTGCACTGCATTCTTGAGGGTCACACTGTACAGCAGTGTGTATGACTGATGAGCACTAGTCATTTCTTGTTGCTGCATTGTGTATAAATGTTCCAGCCTTTGTGAAAGGAGCCCCGGGTAGCAGCACTCTAGTTCTCTCAGGCACTCGCAAGCCATGACGCGTACAGGCCTGTTGGATGACCCCTGCTTCTTGTCGTTGATGTCTGATATAAGGTGCGTTAGCAAAGAGGCAAAGTCCTGGGCTACTTTGCAATTCCAGTTGAAGTTATCAGTGGTGATCAGCACAGTCTCGATTGCTAACAGGAGGTGGCACCTTAAACTTATACTTTTGACTGAAGTTGACATTTGTTGTAAAATATTTATCAGGATCTCCGCAGTAAGTTCACCTGCAGCTTTCTCTGGGCACAAGAGTGTAGGAAACTCTAAAAAAAGATTCAGCATTAAAACCTAGAACAAAAAAAAATATGGTCCATGTCAGCTGCAGTACATTACTGAAACAAAAATATTGCTTTAGAAGTTAAGTGGACTTGATTGGAGAATGCAAAATTTCCCTTTAACCCCCCCCAAAAAAAACAAAAAGGAAGGTAGGTGCGTGTGTTCCTAATGAACTATAAAAAGGTGTTCAGGTTCATATGTTCACCCTCATAACTAGGGATGTACCGATACCGCTATTTCGGTATAGAGCACCAATATTTTTTCTCTCCGGTACTCACCGATACCGAGTCCCATTCAGAAAGCCAGGCAGTGTGTAATGACTCGCCACCTGGCTTCCTGATTAGCACTATGTGACGAGTAAGCATGGAGCCGGCTTTCTGGCCAATCAGGTAGCCGGGTGCCGTGTAATGACGAGGGAGCATGTAGCCGGCTTCCCGGCCAATCAGGAAGCGGGCGCAGCGTCATTAAACGGCGCCCAACTTCCCGATTGGCCAGCTTCCCGACCAATCAGGAAGCGAGTCATTAAACGCTGCCCGGCTTTCTCATTGACCCAAAAGCTGGCTCCATGCTCTCTCGTCACAAGTGACGAGAGAGCATGGAGCCAGCTTCCTGATACAGGAAGTATCGGGCTAGGCATCAAAGAATTTGGGCGAGTACACTGAGAGACACTCAGAGAATTTGGGCGAGCATCGGCACTGATACCAATACTAGTATAGGTGCATCCCTACTCATAACTAAAGTCAAAAGTAGCTGCTGCACTTGGAACATCTTTTCTTTCCTGTGCTGCAGATGTTCTACTTAAAGCATACCTTGCACCAAAAATGCTCGTTTCAGGATCATCTTCTGGCCGGGGTCCAGGGGAATGCCGAGTAATTGAAATCTTGTGAGAAGATGCTATTGCATCTTCTTGTGAGATTTTTGGTACTCAGCAATGCCCAAGATCTCACTGGAAAAGATGGTGAGGTCACCCCATGCAGTATGGAAGCCGGGGTAAGGGAAGTATTTTTAATCACAATAGTTGATCCGGTCACTTGTAGCAATTACCCAGCAACATAATCACTTAAAGGAGTTGTAAAGTCCCACCATATCCTCTCCTGTTATCACATCAGCATTGTAATTGGAATACATACTGGAGATGTGTCTGATAATACAATCAAAGCTTACTTGAAATAAATCCCTTTTATGTAGTGAGTGCCGCCTTCTGTCTGCCCATCACTTTCACCAACTTCCTGGATTCCCAGTGTGCTATGTGTCTCTCTCCCTGCCACTTGATGTGATGTAATCTCAATTTCCCAAGACTACATATCCCATCATGCATTGCTTTTAGCAAGGAAATGCATATTCACAGGGCTGAGTGAAATTGTGTCAGTGCATTGAGGAGGTCCATCCTATGGGCATCTTCAATCAGAAAGTTATACTCTTCTAGATAGATATGGTAATTAGTAGGGATGCACCGATATCGATACTAGTATCGGTGCAGAGGATTTGGGTGAGGCCCAAATGCTCCGATGCCTAGCCCGATACCTCAGCTTCCGGTATTAGGAAGCCGGGCAGGGAGTCATTATACGGTGCCTGACTTCCTGATTAGCCGGGAAGCCGGCTCCATGCTCCCTCGTCACTTGTGACGAGGGGGCATGGAGCTGGCTTCCCGGCCAATTAGGAAGCCGGGCGCCGTGTAATGACTCGCCGCCCGACTCTCTGATTGGCCGGGAAGCCGGCTTCATGCTCCCTCATCGCCTCGTGATCAGCTAATCAGGAAGCTAGGTGGCGAGTCATTACACGCCGCCTGACTTCCTTAAATGGGAATTCCGGTATCGGTATTGGCCAGTACCGAAAAAAAAAATTATCAGTACTCGATACCGAAAAAACGGTATCTGTGCATCCCTAGTTATTAGGAGTGGGACAGAACTCATGGAAAATTATTATAGAAATAGATATTTATTTTTAGTTTTTGACCATAGATACCCTTTAAGGGACTACTCTCCAACTTCTACAGTGTTGCTGGTTCAGGTAAAGAATGAGCAATGCCACAGGAGCCTGTGAGTGCTGTGTAAGTGATCCTATTGCTAGCGAGCTGCCACTAGTGATAGGATTGTAGTGTGACATGCGGTCAGATTTTCACTTTTTAGATTTTTTAAAAGATCATCCACAAAACGTTCCACGGTTACGGTGGATAAGAAGGACCTTGGATTGGCACAAAAGGCGGCCACATTCTTGAACCAGCTAGTACTGTTCCTCTCCGCCATGATGCTGAACGGGTGACTAAACTAGGACGTTTGTACCGGAACCTGGAACAAATGTAACAAATATACATAAGAAACAAACACCCTCAAAATAGAGGATACATGGTGGCCCGAAAGGTGGAGAGAGCCTTTAATATTTAGTTTTAAATATTTTATTTTTATAAACATTTGCATTATTTAATATTTTTTATTCATTCATTTTTTATTACATATTTCTATTGTTTACTTTACTTTTAGGGGCTTTGGGGAAATATTGGGAGGCCTCTGATATTTCCCTTTTAAAATAGAAAAAAAGAGATTGGGGACACAGAGTTCTCAATCTCTTTCTCTGTGTCCCCTGTTATCAATGAACAGGAATCCTCTATACTGAGTGTTCCTGTTCATTCATAACATGAGGACAGAGTATGTTTACTATAACCACAATTATGAATGAACAGGAGGAGATGTAGATCACTTCCCATTCATTCATAATTGAGGATATAGTAACCGGACTCTGTCCTCAATTTACAAACACTCAGCGATCACGGACTGCTTGTACCTTGCTCTCCTCTCTGACACGCTGTCACAGGAGGCTGAGCGAGAGGTGCAGGGAGGAGAGCTCAGCCTCCAGTGACAGCGCAGGCTGTCTCCGCCCCCACACCGCTCTGCCGGACTGTGACAGGAGTGGTGTGGGAGGAGAGACACCGGTCGCTCACAGCGCTCTGCTACCGCAGTGCTCGGCCGCCTGTGAAAGTTTCTCTCCTCCCCGCCGGGACACAGAGCAGAACCCAGTGGGGAGGAGAGAGAGAATAGATGCACCGCTGAATCGGCCAGAAAATGGCACTTTCGGCATTATGCTAAAAGTGCAATTTTTGGCCGATATGTTGCGGCGGCCGATATATCGGTGCATCCCTAATATTTAGAACACTGAAATAATAATAATATCTAATATTCATCATTACAGACTCCCAGTCTGTGCAATTTGCTCTGTAGGTGACACAACACTCTACACACCAACTGAGCCAGGCATGGAACCTTCCACACACTATGCTAACATAACCCTGTCATGAAATACGAGGGTCGGATGCCTGGCTGCTATACCTACCCACAGGCTTCAGTTGTGGGAGGAGAGACACCGGTCGCTCACAGCGCTCTGCTACCGCAGTGCTCGGCCGCCTGTGAAAGTTTCTCTCCTCCCCGCCGGGACACAGAGCAGAACCCAGTGGGGAGGAGAGAGAGAATAGATGCACCGCTGAATCGGCCAGAAAATGGCACTTTCGGCATTATGCTAAAAGTGCAATTTTTGGCCGATATGTTGCGGCGGCCGATATATCGGTACATCCCTAATATTTAGAACACTGAAATAATAATAATATCTAATATATCTCATCATTACAGACTCCCAGTCTGTGCAATTTGCTCTGTAGGTGACACAACACTCTACACACCAACTGAGCCAGGCATGGAACCTTCCACACACTATGCTAACATAACCCTGTCATGAAATACGAGGGTCGGATGCCTGGCTGCTATACCTACCCACAGGCTTCAGTCAGTTCTAATTCACTGACCTGGAAGAAATATGCGGATCAGGAATGTCATAGGTTCTTAAAGGACTGTGGGAATAATAATTTGTGGGTGAATGGACCTGCATTAGACGTCATGATCTCAGCGGGGCTTAGACCGCCAGAGCCAGGGGGAGAAGAGGCTGCGAGGACTGGTCTGGCAGCCTAGAGGGAGCCAAGGGAGGGACCAAGGATCAGGTGAGTAAATCTGCTTTATTTGAGCCCCCTTAGAAAAAACAAGCACTTAACCCTTGCAGTGCCGGGGTAGCCCCACTGTAAGGGCAGGTTTGTTTAAATTCCCGGAGTTCTTCTTTAACTTGACACTTTCCCTGGTTAAGCGATTGAAGGAACTGAAGCAAGACAGTCAGCAGAACAGCCACACAGCCAGCGGCTGCCTTCTTGATTTTTTTCTGACAGGTGTCCTTTGAAAGACAACTAAAGCACAAAATTTAATAGTGTCCTCCTGTGACCCAAAATCATCACAGACATCCCAACCTTCAAAAACTCATTTCAGGGAGGCACCTCTCCAAAATAATGGCAGATAGCAGGGAAATCAACAGTCAGCAGAGGAGCTAATGCTTCCCCTGTTATCTGCTGTCTTTTTTTTTTTTGTATTCTGACAGCGGCCGCCTTCAGAAAAATAAATAAATACAACAGATAGCAGGGGAATGACTAGCTAGGCTGCTATTGGCCACTTCAAATTGCAATAGCAGGCTGGCTATTGCACCCGTCCATTGCTGCTGTCAATGAGCAGAGGAGGACCTGATGGAGAATATTTAGGGCATAATATGAAACATGGCCACCCCCCACCCCAACATTTAACTAAATGATGGGGTACTTCTCCCTGTCTATTTTTTTTTTACTTAAGCGTGGCTGTGCTTTGCTCCACCAGCACAGCCTTGGCATCCAGTCACAGGATCTTTAAATAGTAAGACAACAAGTCCTACCTACCACCATGGTAGATGAAGTCACGGATCTCGCAACTCACAAGTGTGGTCACCGCACTTGTAGTCCATTGTTTACTTTCTCCAGCCATATAACAAAAGGTCTGTACCGCCATACAGACCTGGGGCTGCGACGTAAACAATGCAGGAGCCTGTGCATTCCACTGATCATGGTTGCAATGCTCTGCAGGTTTCAATGCACAAACTGTAATAAATGCATTTATAAAAAAATAAATAAATATGTGGGTGCAATTATTATTAATATTTTTGCAAAAGCTGGACTGTGCCTTTAATATACAATATTTAAAATGTTACATGTAAAAGGTTACTGCCAAAAACATGCTATTTTATCCCACCTGTGGCCAAAACTTTTTGTTGCCGTCTGTCTTCCTGTTCCAGTGACAACCTCCCCCCCTCCGTTCTTGTACGGGTGTCACATGGTCAGGAAGTGAGAACATAGCCCCAATGGGGGTCGGGGTCTCTCTCTATATAAATGCATTCTGAGAGTTGTCATAAGAAAGGATTAAAGCGCAAACAAACCTTCTATGGTGACGCCATGCAGGTGTATCCAGGCCCCAAGGCCCCTCAAGACGAAATCACAGCTCACAGATCATACATCACTCAAACCCTCGGCCCCACCTGACTCCCCAGCTTTGCTAAACACCAGCAGACAGCCCGAAACTAACCTAAGAGGAAGCGGCATACAGCTGATCGGATGTGACGCACAACGGATAGCCATCTTCACTGAGGGCAACGTTTGCCCTTTCACCCCAAAAAAATACATTTACAGTCAATATAGAACGACAGGAAACCTCGTATTCACCGTTAAAATTCACAGCACGCTGGGTATGTTCATGGCATAGCGATAGTTTTGTCTCATTTGCCGCAATAGTGCAAGAGGCCCTTAGTAAACATGGCCCCCATGAAGTCTCCCCATTGAATTTACTGTATTTACTGCTCGAGCCCATTGGAGCGGGGTGACGTAATGACGCTGTGCTTGCCCCTGCCTGCCAGCCCAGGAAACCCTGTGCAAAGCTGCCAACGCCCGGTGGAGAGACGGGGAGCGAGAGAGGTAAGGGCCGCTTGGGCTTTACGGGGAAGCCGGGTGAGAAGGAACTCGCAGAGAAGCGGGCCGAAGGGGTGAGAAGGGGGGGGAAGGTGGTGTGTGTTCGCCGGGTTCAGGAAATATACAGGTGCGTATGGACGTGACCGGGGGCTCTGTGCCGGGCCGGTGATGTTCACCGCCCTTACAGCTCCGGCCGTGCAACAGTAAGGTAATCCATTTAATTCCCTTAAATTTTTTATGTTACAGATATATTTCTGTTGTTGTAATATTTCAGCTCATGTGGTTATATGCCAGCATTTGTATCCCGCTGTACCCAAATTTCATGTATAATCTCATTTAATGAAAACCTGCACTGCATCAGCCCTGGGCAAGTCAAGCAGCTGTCACTAGTCTTCCAATGATAATAATATACAGGGTTAAATTTAGCTATTCGATTTGGTGCTGGGTACAGGTCTGGTCTCGTTATTCTTTAGTCACTACATGCTACAGTCACTACAAGAGGTACTTAAAGAGGAACTACTGCTAGTACCAAAAATTAACCCTTGCATTGGGACTACAGCTGCTCGTTTTGGTCTGGGTAATCAGAATAAAGAAGATATGCTCGCCTGTTCCTCAGTCCTGCAGCAGTGAGCACTGACCCCTCTCCCCCTCCACTCCGGCTGTATCCCTTAGCGCCCTCACCAATAATGTGGGTGAATGGACCTGCATTAGACGTCATGATCTCAGCGGGGCTTAGACCGCCAGAGCCAGGGGGAGAAGAGGCTGCGAGGACTGGTCTGGCAGCCTAGAGGGAGCCAAGGGAGGGACCAAGGATCAGGTGAGTAAATCTGCTTTATTTGAGCCCCCTTAGAAAAAACAAGCACTTAACCCTTGCAGTGCCGGGGTAGCCCCACTGTAAGGGCAGGTTTGTTTAAATTCCCGGAGTTCTTCTTTAACTTGACACTTTCCCTGGTTAAGCGATTGAAGGAACTGAAGCAAGACAGTCAGCAGAACAGCCACACAGCCAGCGGCTGCCTTCTTGATTTTTTTCTGACAGGTGTCCTTTGAAAGACAACTAAAGCACAAAATTTAATAGTGTCCTCCTGTGACCCAAAATCATCACAGACATCCCAACCTTCAAAAACTCATTTCAGGGAGGCACCTCTCCAAAATAATGGCAGATAGCAGGGAAATCAACAGTCAGCAGAGGAGCTAATGCTTCCCCTGTTATCTGCTGTCTTTTTTTTTTTTGTATTCTGACAGCGGCCGCCTTCAGAAAAATAAATAAATACAACAGATAGCAGGGGAATGACTAGCTAGGCTGCTATTGGCCACTTCAAATTGCAATAGCAGGCTGGCTATTGCACCCGTCCATTGCTGCTGTCAATGAGCAGAGGAGGACCTGATGGAGAATATTTAGGGCATAATATGAAACATGGCCACCCCCCACCCCAACATTTAACTAAATGATGGGGTACTTCTCCCTGTCTATTTTTTTTTTACTTAAG